TATTATTATATTATTTATTAATTATTATTATTATTTATTATTCTTATATTATTTATTAATTATTATTATTATTTATTATTCTTATATTATTTATTAATTATTATTATTATATTATTTATTAATATTATAATTATTATTACTTTATTAATATTATTATTATTATTACTTTATTAATATTATTATTATTATTATACCATTTATTAATATTATTATTATTATTATACCATTTATTAATATTATTATTATTATATTATTTATTAATATTATTATTGTTATACTATTTATTAATATTATTATTATTATTTTATTTATTAATATTATTATTGTTATTTTATTTATTATTATTATTATTATTTTATTTATTAATATTATTATTGTTATTTTATTTATTATTATTATTATTATTTTATTTATTATTATTATTACTTTATTTATTAATATTATTATTATTATTATTTATTATTATTTTTATCTATTATTTAATCTAATTATCACTATCCGCGACAAAGTTGAAAAATGCGTTTGCTAATTTTAGCCAAGGTTTCGTATCCAATTTGCGCATATGGTTTTCCTTACACGTGCAAGACGATGTAATTAAGTAGAAGATTCACGAACTAAAATAGGCGAGTGCACGGAATGAAATACGTACTAGTTCTTTCGTTCTACACTCTCAACGCCGCACCATATCTCTGTTAGCACGATGACCCGACAGAACGTTCATTGGCTTTCGCTACGAAGGAAAGATCCGTCTACGAAGAACCTTAACACCAGCATTTTTTTAGTATCTTTTTCTCTTTTCTTCTTCTTCTTCTTCTTCTTCTTCTTCTTCTTTTTCTCTTCAATATCTTTCCTGCGCAATGACGCTTATTTTCCCGTCTAGTGGCTCCACTTTCGCAAATATCAATGTCCACGGGAACACATTGATTCAAACGCCCCGCTAATTGATGATTTATCAATGTGAACGAGCTATCCGTGCTCCTTTTGTTGTCTTCGAATGGGAAACAAGAGCGAAATGGAAGATAGACATCGCGAGAAAGTTCTTTATTAACTGACAAACTTATTTATTTATTAGTTTTAATGAAGCTACGCCACGGGATAAGATGGAAATGATAATACAGAAATACGAATGAAGATGGTGCAAAATTCAGAATGATGCACGATCAAAAAGTTTTCTGTAGCTTTTGTAAAAACTTGTCAATGCAAAAGAAAAAAAACGACACTAAATTCTTCGTAGTAGAGATAACAAGGGGAAACTATTGATAAGGCTTATCAACGTTGAAGAAAAAGCCAACAATAAGAAGCCTGTAGGGCAAATCTTTATCGCTAGTAATTCCGAAAACTAGCAAGTAGAAAAAGGTGAATGACTTGCACATCTTCCTTTTTAAATGCTACGAAACAACTGTATCGAAAGAAACGTTTCTCTCAGAAACTGTCCTCTCCAACTTTCCTAAAGCGTGCAAACGCGTTTCCAATTCCTCCCGTGCTACAAAATCATCCGAAAGAGATGATGCCTCACACGTACGAAATCATAATTGACGAAATTAACAAAGTCAAATCTACTTCCGTTATTCTTACATCCGCTACCTCTTAATATCCTAAGTAAATAAGAGTAGGACATAGAAAAAGCTAGTAAACATTTATCACTCGAACTCTTCAAAGTTATTCGAATAAACACAGTTCTGTTTGTGAAGCTGGGACAAGCAGCCGGCTCGTATTCGATTAAAGTCGCGAGAAACTCTGACAAAAATTAAGGAGACATTTCAAAATGAATTATGAAGCGATAAAAAGGTAGAGCATTTGATCTCTTTCTGTTAACCTCTTGCGCTTGGAATGACGTGTCACGTATTTCGCCCAAAATTGCAATATTTCCTCAGTTTTAAGTGTATTGAAATATAACCGAAGCGAAATAAATAGATTTATTAAAATATAATATAATAAATTTATTACTTATTAGTGAAAGTAATTTATAAATTATAATAAATTTATTACTTATTAGTAATTTATAAATTTATTACTTATTATTACTTTCTATCCAGTATCATATCGACGAGTTTAAAAGAAAAAGAAAGCGACGAATTATTGTGATATACGGTTCGGTCACTCGTTATGGTCCGCGAAACAGTTGCCAGCGCAAGGAGTTAAACTTTTTGACTACGAAAAGTTTATATGTACAGGACGTTTAATAATAATAATAATAATAATAATAATACGTATATATACAGGACGTTTAATAATAATAATAATAATAATAATACACACTACTCACAAAAATTAGGGTGAAATAGGTAAAATAAATATAAAGCGATGAGAAAAAGAAGCATTTGATTCTTTTTTTTTTTTTATTAAACAAGAACATGAGAAAAGCAAACGCCAAGTCAAAGAAAGATGTTCTTGTTTGTTTTGTTGTAAAAATTATATAAAGTGTTTCAAAAATTATCACACTTCGAAGAATTAAAACATAAATTATACAACAATGATAAATAAATAGAAAAAAATTGAATTTTATCGTCGTACATCAATTTGATTCAGTTACCTTAACCTCTTGCGCACGTCGAGAATTCTTTTGTCCCAGAATTGCAATATTTTCTCAGTTTTAAGTATATTTAAGTATAACACAGGCGAAGCAATTAATACATTTATTAATTCTCAGTAATTTCTATCCAACGACGTATACCGATAAATTCAAAAAGAAGACGAACCATTGTATACGAGTTTGGTCACTCGTTATGGTCCGCGAACCAGTTTTACCAACGCAAGAGTTTAAACAAGAGCGTCAGAGAAGCAAACGACGAGTGAATTAAAGTTTTTCTTGTTTAATAAAAAAAAAAAAAAATTAAATGCTTCTTCGTATTCATTTTGAAATAACACCCTAATTTTTGCGAGCCGTGTGTTTGTTACGTCAGGCTAGCTCGTAAGCCCAATTCTTCGAAACAACTCTCACTCGGCATGGAGTTCGTTGAACGGCGAAAAGATTCTCGAACTCGGACGAAAGTGAAGGCGAGACACGACGCTGTGTATGTACAGTGTACAGACTGTATGTACGAACCGAGAACGAAAACGCTGGTACGAGAGATATAGGGCACGGCTCCACTACCCTACTTTTACCGGCCTCAATTTCTCTTACCCACATTTGCTGCCCACACGGCCGACTTGAGAGTTTCGTTTCGTTTCGTTTTCACTCTCGCCGGCCGCAGCCGTCGTCCTGACCCGACCCAACCGAGATTTCTATTAACCTGGCACACGATCGCCGAACAGATCTCTCTCTATCTCTCGGTCCGAGGAAACTGGAGTGTCCTGGGTCAGGATCACGTTCACTTTCGCCGCTCGCGCGCGGCCACTTTCGATTTCCGCCGCTTTCGACTGTGATTCGTACAGCTACATACAGCTGTAATTACAAACGAAAAGTGTCTTGTCGTTTCGTCGACGCTTCGACGAGTTTTTCAATCGACACAGGCGTTGCAAATAATTTTGCACAACGGATAAAATATTCCATCAAAGGGAATAAAATGTATGAGATTCACACATTTGTAAAATAATTTTTTTTTAACAATTAAATTTACATACGTTTTTTTAATAATTAAATTTACGCACTTTTGTAAAGTAATTTTACACAACAGATAAAATTTCCATCAAAGGAAATAAAATTTTACAAAAATGTAAGCTACACACTATTTCACACATTTGTAAAATAATTTTTTTTTAATAATTAAACTTACACACTTTTTTCTAAATAATTAAATAATTTAATTTTTCAATAAATTTAATAATTAAATTTACACACTTTTGTAAAATAATTTTACACAACAGATAAAATTTCCATCAGAGGAAATAAAATGTGTGAGATAGTGTGTAATTTACAAAAATGTAAACTACACACTATTTCACACATTTGTAAAATAATTTTTTTTTAATAATTTAATTTACCCACTTTTTTTAATAATTAAATGATTAAACTATTAAATAAATTTAATAATTAAATTTAATAATTATTAAATAATTTTAATAATTAACACACTTTTGTAAAATAATTTTACACAACGGATAAAATTCCCGTTAAGGTAAAGGAAAAAACAGAATACTTTTGTATATAGATTTTACGAAAAGTCGTTCAAATCTCTCAAAAATACACTGTTTCACATCCGTAAAACATTTTGTAATAAATGTTTCATCACCTTGGAATTTCTAGCGTTAATATAGAAATCCTTGAATTTTTATATTAACATCTCGAAAAGATAAATGAAAAGATAATTGCGAATCATTCATTCGCGTTATTTATTTCTTCGAATTGTGGAAGGCAGCGTGAAGTATAATTGTGACTTCACACGCTGGATTATATAATTATCGTAATTCAAAGGAGAAAGAGGAAGGCAATCGTAATCGTGCAACTCGTTTGATCGCCTGGATCATAGCAACCTGTCGTACGAGTAAAATTCAACTCTGACAACGTACAGGCTTGTGTACCGATATGAAACAAACGTGGAGCAGATCAAACAGCTACAAAACCTAACATCTCTAAGCTACATTCAACAAAAATTCGGACTTGAAATTTTGTACAATGTTTTTAAAATAATTGTGCAATTATAAAATAAATAAACGAGTGTGGAATAAACGAAATCGTGTTTAAAGAAAAGAATTATCAAAAATAAAATAAAATTATCAAAAATTATCGAAAAAGAAAGAAAAATTATCAAATTACGAAGAACGATTAATCTCAATTAACTTATGGAAAGTCAGAGTAAGGAGCCTGTATGTAAGTATGGAAAATCTGTTCTATTTATAAAGACAATCACAGCGACTCAGTCGTCACAGTAAATCGTGTTTACCTTTCAACATGGAACTTTTTGAAACATCTGTAGTGCCATTTTTAGCACGCGACAATTATTGTACGATGGAGTATTACGCGAGAAATCAGATGAATCATTGTAACAATAGTCGTAAATTTTACCTGATAAGAGAGATTTATCTGGAAGCGATTATATAAATAGACCATGAAAAAAGGAAGCTCACCAGTAAGGAGAGCATCAACGTGTCGCCGAGGAATGTGCGTCTAATAAAAGTTTCAGAAACATGAAAGGTAACGCCAAAGAGCTAAATATCATTCCAATCTTTTCTTTTTCTCCATTATTCTCGATTATTCTTTTCGCGCCTATCATCATCGCAGCGAATTGAACAACTAGATTCCTTATGTAAAAAATAGTATTGCCAAATATCGTTGAAAAAGTAATATTTCATCACGATTTGCCAGGCACGCTTGTCAACATTCTCCTCGCTGTCTCGATCGTTTACACCTGCGCCGCACCTTTTGATAAACCACAGTGGCTTTCCGCGATCAAAGAGCTGAAAGAGAAACGAAACCCAAGAGAGGAAAATCTGCCCAGTTTGAGCAGAGAGAGAGGCGCGTCCGACCATCCGCAATGGTTCTCCAGAGACTCGAAGCATCGTGACGTGAAACAAAGCAACAGAAGCTACGAGAGTCCTTCCGTCCCCTTGATTTTGTTGCAGACAAAAAGCTTCGAGCCGGACAAAGTGATTTCTCACAGAAGAAAGGATTCCCAGGAGGGAAGTGTTTCCTCGAGCGAGGAAAAGTCTGACCAGGCGAATATCGGCGAGAAGTGGAATTCTAATCGTCGCGAGGAAAGTTCGTCCGAAGAAAGCGATTCTTCCGACAGATCGAACAACAGGCACCAGAAGCGACGTGAACATAACTCGAGTGGTGGGAAGAGGAACGATGGCGACGAACGTTCAAGTTCAAGTTCGTCGGAGTCTAACGACGATCCCGATGACGACGAGTTCAGGAAGTATTTAAAGAGTTTATCGAAGAAAGAAAAGAACTACAAGGAAATCAGAACTTCAGGAACCCAAAAGACAACTTCTCAATCGTTTTCGCGAACTGAACCTTCTAGAGAATCAGGAAATCAAAGAACACTTGAAACTACTACTTCTAAATCTGAAATAGCGCCTAATGATAGTCCATCTAGCGATGGTAATACTACTGATGAACCAAACAGTGCTTCAGATAAAAATACAGCATCCAACAGTGATGTAAGTGGATCAACTGATTCACAAGCTAGCGAATCTACCACTCTAGAAGCTCAGCAAACAATCTCCCGATCAACTTCACCGACTGGAACTTCTGGAACATCGAGTAATGATCAAGGATCAACTGATTCGGAAGCTAGCGAATCCACAACTTCAGGAGCTCAACAAACAACTTCTCAATCAACTTCACAGACTGGAGTTTCTGGAACATCAAGTAATAATCAAGGATCAACTGATTCGGAAGCTAGTGAATCTACAATTTCAGGAACTCAACAAACATCGTCCCAATCAGTTTCACAAACTGGAACTTCGGAAGCACCAAGTAATACTGAAGGATTAACTGATTTAGAAGCTAATGAATCTACAACTTCAGGAACTCAAGAAACATCTTCCCAATCAACTTTATCGACTGGCGCTTCTGAAACATCAAATAATAATCACGGATCAACTGATTCGGATGCTAGTGAATCTACAACTTCAGGAACTCAACAAACATCTTCCCAATCAATTTCACAGACTGGCGCTTCTGGAATATCAAATAATAATCACGGATCAACTGATTCGGAAGCTAGTGAATCTACAACTTTAGGAATTCAACAAACATCTTCCGAATCAATATCTCAGACTGGAGCTTTTGAAACATCAAGTGACAATGAAAGATCAACTGGTTCAGAAGCTAGTGAATCTACAACTTCAGGAATTCAACAAACATCTTCCCAATCAATTTCACCGACTGACGCTTCTGGAACATCAAATAATAATCACGAATCCACTGATTCGGAAGCTAGTGAATCTACAACTTCAGGAACTCAACAAACATCTTCCCAATCAATTTCACCGACTGGCACTTCTGGAATATCAAATAATAATTACGGATCAACTGATTCGAATGCTAGTGAATCTACAACTTTAGGAACTCAACAAACATCTTCCCAATCAGCTTCTCAGACTGACGCTTCTGGAACATCAAATAATAATTACGGATCAACTGATTCGGAAGCTAGTGAATCTACAACTTTAGGAACTCAACAAACATCTTCCCAATCAGCTTCTCAGACTGACGCTTCTGGAACATCAAATAATAATTACGGATCAACTGATTCGGAAGCTAGTGAATCTACAACTTTAGGAGCTCAAGAAACATCTTCCCAATCATCTTCTCAGACTGGAGCTTCTGAAGTCTCAAGTGAAGGATCGGCTAGTTCAGAAGCTAGTGCATCTACAACTTCAGAAGCTCAAGAAACATCTTCTCAATCAATTTCACCGACTGGCGCTTCTGGAACATCAAATAATAATCACGGGTCAACTGATTCGGATGCTAGTGAATCTACAACTTCAGGAACTCAACAAACATCTTCCCAATCAGCTTCTCAGACTGACGCTTCTGGAACATCAAATAATAATCACGAATCAACTGATTCGGATGCTAGTGAATCTACAACTCTGGGAGCTCAACAAACATCTTCTCAATCAATTTCACCGACTGGCGCTTCTAGAACATCAAATAATAATCACGGATCAACTGATTCGGAAGCTAGTGAATCTACAACTTCAAGAACTCAACAAACATCTTCCGAATCAGCTTCTCAGACTGGAGGTTCTGAAGCATCAAGTGACAATAAAGGATCGACTGTTTCAGAAGCTAGTAAATCTACAACTTCAGGAGCTGAAGAAACATCTTCCCAATCAACTTCACAGACTGAAACTTCTGAAGTATCAAGTAATACAGAAGAGTCAACTGATCCAGAAGCTAGTGAATCTACTACTTCAGGAGCCCAACAAACAACTTCTCAATCACTTTCACAAACTGGAATTTCTAGAACATCAAACAGTAATGAAGAATCCACTACTAGTGCTAGTTCAACTATTAATCAATCGACAACATCAGGAGAAGCAGCATCAGTTTCTCAAACAGAAAATTCTCAAATAACACAAGAACAACAAACGACTGGATCGTCAGTTACGCCTGAAACAGGCAATGCTGTGCATAGTAGTGAAACATCCGCAAGTAATGAGCAAACAGATGCTAGTACCAGTGAATCCAGCACATGGAAAACTGAAGAAACACAGATGTCTACTGCTCCAAGCATAAGTTCTTCCACCACAGGAGGAGAACAGACATCATCGTTAGAGACTTCAAGTAAAAAACTAGAATCTACCTCTACCGATAGTAATGTTTCGAGTGACAAAGATGGCAGTGGCAGATCTACTAGCGGCGCAAATACACAGACAGATTCAAACGATTCAAGTGAATCTTTGACATTAGAAAACGAAGGAACGCTATCACCTGCTTCTCAAACAGAAAATTCTGAAAAAGAAGAAGTAGAACAGACAACTGCTTCTAGTGCTTCGGGTAACGTAGACAGTACGACAGATACAAATGTTCCAAATAGTAGCGGAAAACTTACTAGCAGTGAACAAGACGATTATAGTGACGCTACAACAGCAGATGGCGAGCAAACAACAGCCTCTTACTCTCAAACCGAAGGTTCTAGCGTCACGGATGAACCGCAGGTGACTGAAACGTCAAGTCGAGAATCGGTGGCAAGTGCTGGTGAATCTTCAACGTCAGATACGCAAGCAACGTTTGTTTCTCAAACTAGAAATTCTAGCGCAACGGAAACGGAACGATCGACCGAAACACCAACTTCAACAACTCCCACTGTTGACACATTAAATATTACGATTATTATTAACAATTCCAGTTCTAATGGATCTGTTATTGGCTCTATTGATTTGGAACTTACAATTGAACAGCCATCTTTGGAACCAGAAGCAACGGTAACCGATGCATCGACTACTCTAAGCAGTGAAGAGACCTCCACCGATGAGCAAACAGAGCCCACAACATTGCAAAATGCACCAGCAACGTCATCCTCCTCTCCAACTGACGAGTCCACCGCGTCTGATGCAGAAGAGTCCACATCAGGTAGCAGTACTTTGGGAAATGACGACACGAATACCAGCGAGAGAGGTCCAAGTACTGACGAACCTGCAACACGAACAGAATCATCCATCGATGAGACACAGACAACGGCACGAAAGATTGGAATACAAATCGTCGTTAGTAATGCCAACGGCACTGTATCGACTTACTTTGTCGAACTTGGCGATAATGCTAGCGTGGCCAATATTTTGGACATTATTAACGGCAGCAGACAAACGAAGCCAAGTATCAACGAGCCTACCACCGTGGGAAATGTCGATGTGTATAATACCGTCACTTCGGTAGCAGTTGCATGAATTAACTACTGTAGGGGAGATTAGTAGAGATAAAGAAATTTCGTATACTACTGATGGAATAAAAATAAATCCATTTGCAACAGCGTACCATAGAGAGGATTACTAATGTAATTTATATTAGAGAATTATATTTCATTTGTTAACGCTATCTTAAGACTAATTTGAATAGTGTACAATTTAGCTTTTGGATGAAACTGCTAATTATATTAAAGTGAATATATATGAATGATATAATCAAGTGTGTACAATGTTAGGTTCGTTGTGCCTTTTGCACTATACTTTTAAGTATATTAAATATATTAAACATATAAATATAAATACTTTTAGATATATTAAATATAATAAATATAATATAAATATAATAAATATATTAAATGTATAAATATGAATACTTTTAAATATATTATATTTTTAGAGGATTATCATTAAAAGAAAAGGAATATATTGTTCAGCCATGTTCATTGATTACTGATTGAATAATCGTAAAAACAATCTCGTATCTTCCAAATATTTGCCAAGAAACGATGACTTGACGTAATTTGTAGTAACGAAATACAAAATAATTGTATTTATCGCGAGAAAGACGTGAAATGTTTGTGAAAGATAAATCGTGACGTGTTGCTGTTGATTTATGGAATTTACGGTAGTAAATAACCAAAAAAAAGAAAAAAAATACGGACAGTCATTTCGTACGATCTCGAGCAACTTTTCGAACGAAATGTGCGAAATTCTTGTCGCCAAGGTTTCGATCGTTTTTGATAATCAGAAATCGGACTTTAATTCAAAGTTCAATTCAACTCATTACGTAAAACTTGATCTCACGAGACATACGATTGTGGAAATATTTTAAAATTTTAGACGAATAACGAGCTAATTCATCACCCAGTGAATCGCGATCGCTTTCTTAATCTAAGCTGATTATCTATTGTTTTGAAAAAACATCACGAATTTTGCAAACGTTGCAACGTAAATTAATTTAATTATTCCGAACAAGCACTTGACATATTTATCAATAGAAGATGCTCGATATTCCTTACTTTTTCTCACAGAGAAAATCATGCGCAATTCATTCTCGAGATCGACGAAGATTACTGCCCGTTTATTTATTTAACGGTACATAAATGCAAAAGATCACGTCACATTCGCGACAGAGGACGCATTTCACGCTCAATGTTACTTGAATTGAAAAAGAGATCAAAGTCTCGTTACAATAATTTCGTTAGCTAGAGCGAGTCAAGTTGCCCGGAGACGATAAGTAAATCGGTCGAGGATGTTCATCGACTTAATCAACTTGTGCTGGCAACTGGTCCGCGGACCATAACGAGTGACCGAGCCGTATACAATAAATTCGTCGCTTTTTTTTTTGAACTCGTCGGTATGGTATCACTGGATAGAGAATTATTGAGAAGTAATAAATTTATTATGTTTAGGTTCAATTTCCAATAAAAACTACATATGTAGTTTACGGAATCTTTTTAAATTAAAAGTAGATTATTATTATTATTTAGTAGCTGTATTATTATTATATAAATTAAATTTATTATTATTTAAATTAACTGTATTATTGTTATTATTAGTCTCGTTCCATAACTTTGTATTTAGGTTCATTTTCCAGATTAGACTGGATGCTTTTAACCACTTGCTCTGGCAACTGGTCCGCGGACCATAACGAGTGACCGAGCCGTATACAATAAATTCGTCCCTTTCTTTTCGAACTCGTCGGTATGGTGTCACTGGATAGAGAATTATTGAGAAGTAATAAATTTATTATTTGTTTCGCCTACCTTGTTTTACTTGAATATACTTGAAACTGAGAGAATATTACAATTTTTGGGACAAAAAATTCTCGACGTGCGCGGCACGTCATTCCAGCGCAAGAGGTTAAAATTTACCCTGGAAGATCACGCGAATTTCTTTCGTACGATCAAAACTAAATGCAAAGAAGTGACAGAATCTTTTTAAATTAACATTAGACATTATTATTATTTAACGTCGTCCCAGTACTTTATGCTTGGGTTCAATTTCCAGTAAAAACTACATATGTAGTTTACGGAATCTTTTTAAAAGTAGATTATTATTATTATTTATTAGCAGTAGTGTTATTACATAAATTAACAGTATTATTATTATTATTATTAGTCTCGTCCCATATAACTTTGTATTTAGGTTCATTTTCCAGATTAGACTGGATGCTTTAAACCGCTTGCTCTGATTGCGGACCGTAACGAGTGACCGAACCGTACACAACAATTCGTCACTTTCTTTTCGAACTCGTCGGTCAGACATCACTGGACAGAGAATTATCGAGAAGTAATAGAACTTATCGTTCGTTTTGTTTTGCCTGGTTTAAAGCTGATTTAAAGATGTTGCGATTTGGGGCAAAAAATTCTCGACGTGCGTGGCACGTCGTTCCAGCGCAAGAGGTTAAGAGAAAGCCAAGAAGAGCACCAGAAATCAGACGATAGATACCAACTGGCGAGCGAATAGATACATATGTGTCACGAGCTTTCCCCGGTCGGGCGGAACCGCTCGTTCTAAAATAGTGCGGGGCATCGTCTCGTTCCCATTGTAACGGCCCACGTAACGGATCGTTGGCGTAACGCGTGTGCCGCTTAATAGTGGCAGCCGATCCGGGCCCGGCCGGCAGTCATCCTGAAGCCATCGGTCAGTAACAGTGTCCGTGACACGTCCTATATATCGGCCGGTGATATCTCGACCTGTCCTCAGATCGGGTCAGAGAGTGCGCATTTACGCGCTCTCTCCAACAAAGTGGCAGCCAGTCGTGTCGTGTCGACAAACGAAGCGAGCTTCTCTCTCTCTCTCTTTCTCTTCCTCTTTCTCTTTCTCTTTCTCTTTCTCTCTGTCTCTCTAGCTCGATAATAATCGAAGAAACGTTGAGCTGTTTGAATTCCGTTATCAGCGGAACGGGAGGATAAGGATAAAAAGAAAACACGATGCTATCGAAACGAGTGGAACCGATGAAATCGACCGGACGCGATATCCTGATCGACGGTGAGTTTCTTTAAAAAGCGAACGCCGACGGTGGATTCACGTATAGTTGGACGAATGTGAGTTGCACGATTGCAACGTGTCTCGGTTCCACGAGCGATAGACGACGTTTCTGGCGCATCGGTGCAAGATGTGGACGGTTTTGCTGACCTTGGCAGTGACCAGTGTTCTAGGAGAAGTGGTGGACGTTCGTGCAAACAATGTGAGTAACGAGATCTCGAACTTGCTTTGACCTTTCTAACCGGTATTCCGAGATACAGATTTGTTATCGTTTGAATTGTCACTGTCAGACATTCGTAAATAGGTTCGGTGAAAATCGAGAATTTTGTCGAAAACGAAAGCGAAACGGACGTCATTTGACTTTAGTAATGACAGTTACTAAGTTACGAAGTTACAGAGTTGAAAAGTTACAAGAAATTGTTCGAAACTGTGCTTTAAGAAATTGAGAAATGAAATTATTAAATTAATAATTTGTCCTTTGAAACCATGCTTTTGTATATATATATATATTTAGTATCTCGTAGTTGTGATTCTTTGTTTTTCTTTTTCTTTTTTTTCTGCAAGGAAATTGTGACTCATTTAATTACTGCAATTTCAATAATTCAATCATTAATCAATTAATCAAACCGAGTTATTTCTTGGCGTCTAATAGCATTATGCGCCATTTGCACTTTTTTAATAGCGAGTATCTCAAAATGGCTTCTTTTCAAGATTCTTCCGATCCAAAACTCGGAAACGTCGAGCGATCAAATATGAAAATTTTCATCAGTCGTCCAATTATATTCGCTCAATTTGCTCAGATTCGAAAACACAATTTACGTAGTCGAACGTAGAACGCTCGCGAAATTGCGTGGCTCGTAAATTGGTTAAATCGATGAATCAAATCAACAAGGGCAAGAGACAATTAACACGCAGAGAAAACGCGTGAATTCTGAAAATCGACCGTTCGCAATTCCAGGGCACCGAATCGAAATTCGGTTTCGATGTCGATTACGAGCTCAATCAATTTTTGCTCGATGGGAAACCCTTCCGATACGTATCCGGCAGTTTTCATTACTTCCGAACGCCCAGGCAATATTGGAGAGATCGTTTAAGAAAAATTAGAGCAGCCGGGTTAAACGCCGTTTCAACGTGAGTTAAAAAAAATTATTATTCTTCTCATTTAACTGTAATTAAATTTGAAAATTTGTAATTGAAATCATTGTTTTTCAAACTCAAGAATTGATTAGAAAGCCCAAGAATTGTCTTTTTTTGAAGTCCAAAGTTCATGATTAAATCATTATTTTTATTCAAAAGTTAACTGAAAAGCTAAGAAATTATGTCTCCTTTTTCCAAGTTTAAAATTTATAATTAAAATATTACTTTCGTTCAAAAACTAATCAAGAAATTAAAAAATTATGTCTTCTTCTTCTTCTTCTTCTTCTTCTTCTTCTTCTATATTTAAGACTTGTAATTAAAACATTATTTTCATTCAAAAGTTAATTGAAAAGAAATTACGTCTTCTTTTTCCAAGTTTAAAATTTATAATTAAAATATTATTACTTTCGTTCAAAAACTAATCAAGAAATTAAGAAATTACGTCTTCTTGTTCTTCTTCTACTAAGTTTAAGGCTTGTAATTAAAACATTATTTTCATTCAAAAATCAATTAAGAAGTTAAAAAAATCGTATCTTCTTCTTCTAATAAAAGTTACTTTTGCTTCTCAGTTAATATCTCGTAATTTTAATCTCAAAAGACGAACATTTCCCTGACGAAATTGTACTGTAGATACGTAGAATGGAGTCTTCATCAACCGTCTGAGAATGAATGGCACTGGACAGGTGATGCGGATTTAACGGAATTTCTGAACATCGCTCAGGAGGAAGACTTGTTCGTGCTTTTGAGGCCAGGCCCTTATATTTGCGCGGAAAGAGATTTTGTAAGTATACTTTCACATATTAAGTTTTATATTTTTTTTAATTATATTGAATTTATCGAAAACTGAATGAACTGATGTATGATTTGTAAAATTCACCGATATAATTCCTGCTATTTATTACACATTTTTCTTACGATATTTTATATGCAGGGTGGACTTCCTTATTGGTTACTATCGCGAGTACCCGACATACGTTTGCGTAGCAGCGATCCACGTAAGAATTTCTCACGATCTTTATCAGCAAGTATTATTTCTAACAATAATTGTCTCAACTGAAACCTCTCCCTCGTTTCGTAGGATACACGAAATACGTGAAACTATATTTAAACGAACTGCTGGAATTAATCTGGCCTTATCTGCGAGGAAACGGAGGACCTATAATAATGATTCAGGTACAAATACCTCTGTTACCAATACCTAGAGAAAATAGTTCTCTGTTAACTCCTCGACTTACAAGTTAATGTTTCGATTTAAAAGAAACAGTAAATTGTAACACCCACGAAATTTCAATTTAAAGATATTAAATTACCTTCGTTAAACTAAATTACATTGATAAATAAAAAATTACATATAACGTTTCGAAAAATTGATACCCTAAATTAATTTTACTGTCTCAATAAGTGATGTTTGTCCCTAAAAATTGAAAAGAAAATCGTAAGGCAAGGAGTTAACTTTTCAAGAAAAAAAGAAAGAGAGAACCTGAAACAAATATAAATAAATATTATTTATAATAAAATATAATATTACTAATAACTATTATTTATAATAGAAATAATATTATTATTTATAATAAAATATAACTAACATTTATAATAAAAT